TACAATACACTTTTAGGGGGGGAAACATACAGTTGTTTATGGGTCAGAGAAATGCTCAGCTAATGCTGTATACTATGTAGGGAGCTCTATTACTGGCACATTATTATTATAGTAATGGCAGCAATTGACAACAGAGCCCAAACTGTTAAATTAAGCTGATAATCATTTTCAGAAATAATAATAAACAGTCAAATAAAACAAAATGGATGAAAAAAATGTTAATTGCACACAAAACAGGTTTTAATGTCTCTAAATCTAATTATTTAAAAAAGAACCAGAGGCTCATTGTGCTTTTAAAGCAATCTAAAAAATATCTCGATGAGAAAAATATAATAGAAAAAAATGGCAGCAACATTACATGTTGACTATTTTCAATTCCAAGCTAACAAAAATATTTGCCTGTATTAAAAATCTGATTATTCAAATTATAGTCTTAGTCCAGTTTCTTGTAGAAATGTACATTTTCGTGATAATAATTAAGACATACTAAAGGCCCTATCATACACCCGCCGCAATAAGGCACAAGAAGTGTTTGGTACAATTTGTTGCTATTTTCAAACCAGCGCAACCTTAATTTTCTTTTTTTTTGGCACCACATTGTATAGCAAAACCTTTTTGAGCTACTTTGTGAACTCATGGGTGTGCCGGTCTATACAGGAAGGTGTGTTAAGGCGCATTGTTGGTGCGATGCTATTTTAAGAAACTGATCTAGATGGCGCCATTGACCAAGTAAAAGCTGGTCTAAAGTCCAGCGCAGAGCGTGTTAGTTATGTGCCTTTGCAGGTTCAAACGTTTAACACACACAGGATGTACAACAATACACAAATATCTTACATCTGAAACAATAAAGGATTAAATTGTTACAAAAATTATTATTTTCTGCATAAATATAAAAACATAAATATAAAAACTTTCTTCATGTCGGGGGCCTTTTTTTCAGTTTATTCATGACAATTTGCATTAGTATAATATTATTATTATTACAGTATTATTTGTTATATGCATATATATATATATATATATATATATATATATATATATATATATATATATATATATATATATATATATATATATATATATTTGTTTTATTATAAACAAGTTTAGATTTGTCCATCTGTCGAGTTTTGGAGATGTATGCATTACTATATGAGGCATAAGAATAGGACGTGTGTCTGGGTATAACCAACACTTTTTTTTTAACACTCTTCAGTAGCTGGAAATTAGAACCGAATTTAGAAATAGTTTTGAAACTAACTTTGAGCTTAACAAACAAAATTAAATATGTAGGCTAATGGATGTCTTCAGCGGAGTGAGTTTCCACCGTTTCCCTATCCATAAAAGTAAAGAAATAAAAGTAAAAAGAAAGTAAAGAGGCCGAATGGAGAAGGCTCATTCTTTATCGTCAAGCAGATGGTCTATGTAACTGTTTTGCTCAAAAGACACCCATAACTCATTAAGAAAATAAGCACAACCCTGTTAGACCGTGCGCCAAAGCACAGAGCATATTTTTCCATCCTTAAAATAGCAAAAGTAAAATTGGGACACACCCTTGATGCTTTTGCGTCAAAGAGTATCAAAACAGATTTTATTGTTTTAAGTGAAAAACCTGTGCTAAAACCTTTTTGCATTTGCAAAAGTAGTGGTAATAGCCATTCATGGGTATCCGTAATTAGACTTCTAAGCAGAGTAAAAAAGAAGAAAAAGTGTGTCGTTTTGATTTGTTGGCAGGTTGGATCGAATTGTAAGTGGTTTGAAATCCAGCCTCAGTATCAACTGTCCACTCTGGTGAACACAAGGCATGTAATGACTCTCTGAAGACTGCACAGTCTGTGGTTAAGGTTCTGTCCCCTTAAACAAGAGATCATTTTCCCTTTCTCTGTTGGATGCCCTTTATGGTTCTATTAAAGAGCAGTTCCCACGATTAAAATATCCTAACTTTATTGTCCCCCACCTGAAACCTGTATAAAGCCATCAAATTCCAATATTCCTGTTTCTCCAGAGGAACAGTCACTGTAGATGTGAATACTCAGTTTTTTGTTTTATGATCATCAATGGACCACAATGCTTGGAAATCCTTGATGCAAAAACTTTCACAATTTCATGGATGAAAATTTAATTTGTTGTTCTCAACAGTATCATTAACAGAAGGGAAAATTTGATTCCGCAGAGAGAGAGACAGAGAGAGAGAGAGAGAGAAAAAGTCATATGAAGTATTATTTACATGGAGAACATATTGTAAATCACTGAAATGAGTTCATCCTTTGACAGTTGGAATTGGTTATGAAATATAACCCTCAGTAATGTTTGTTTACATGCATAAGATTTGTCCCGGGGAAGCCACTGCGTCTTTAGAAAGTTAAATTGCTCAGTTTGCCAAATTGTGTTGTGTTTTTTTCTTATATGCTGTTCAGGACTGAATGAACAGACGCCATTGTCTCTGAGTCAAATCTCTATGCGCAAGAGTTGCCTTGAGGAAGCTTATAGGATGTGGTTGGTGACGTAGTTCACATTTCTATCAAATAGCTAAATTACAGTTTACAAATGGCTAAGGGATTCCTATATTTTAGGGTGCCTTTACACCTAGGAATTTGTTTTGGAACCTGTCTCGTTTGCCCTGTTAGCATGGTTCGTTTGGCATAGGCTATGTGAAACCCGCAATTGCGTTTGGAATCTGCACCAAATTAATCTGTCTTAGATCACCTAAACGAACTCTGGAGCGGATTAATTGTAGTGAGAAAGCAATACGACCCAACAAACTAATGAGCCTGGCTAGCCAGTGTATTATGTCTACGTAATAGTCATATTTCTGGCTATATGAAGAGAGAATGATGAGTAGGGCGGGATGTCATTCCTACCAGTAAATTTGCGTTTCATGTCGAATACGAAAGTGAAAGCATGCTAAAATATAACTGAGTGCTGTTTATTCGTTAGGAAAATAATAATTGATAATTTGTATTATATTTAAATCTTATAATATTTTGTATTAGGCCTTGTGTTTGGTTCATTTCTGCACTGACACCTTGAAAAAAAGATCAGCATTGATCTGCTTCATGATCTGACTACAGGATCGGTTCATCTGTTATTTTTCTCTATAATTTAAGCATATAATGCATAATTCTGGCCAAGGTTTTTTTTTTTTTCTTATTTTAATAGATTGATTGATTCAATAGATAGATTTATACATCCCTTGGCAACTGAAAGGATGCTATGTATGAGAAAGTCTTATCTACCTGATTGGTGTCAAAATTAAAGTGCACCCTTTCCCTTGTAATATCTTATTGCTTATCATCATGAATTAAAATACAATGCGACAGCTGAGCGGAATTCTTGGGATTCTAAAAAATAAACCCTGAAACTCTGACCATTGTGAGGAGAGTTTACTCGCACATGACTTGTTTTAACGCACCAAGAACAAAAATAAACATAACAATTTTAATCCCTAATTAACAATTTGTTTCAGAACAAAGCAATACACAGGTGTGAAAGCACCCTTATAGTCTTTCATAACTTCAATTCTAGAGGTTGACATATACAATAATCACATTACAGGATGTGCAAATTCATAATTGAAAGGTCATAATTAGTTTGATGTGTGGATTAATTGCAAACTAAATGTCAACTCTGGTCTGCAAAATTGTATCACTTGACTACGTGAGACCAATCGAGGATCAAAACATAACCTCTCTGGACAGAAATTTAAAACATAGACCAATTGCTTGCTTTTTTAAATGTCTCATCATCTTGTTTAATCCCGCCCCTTTCCGCAGCACTGTACTACAGAATTTTGCATGCACAAACTCTATTGTGACCTCAGCATTAGGCCCAACTTAGCAAATGATCATGGAATGAGTGGGATAATCAAAGGCTTGCTGTGTGTTAAAGGGTTTTAATGCATTTCATCTCCACTTTCGCTTAGAGTGGTGCTTTGCCTCCACGTTGTGCATTAATATTCTTTAACGCACAGCAAGCCATTGATTATCCCTTACTTAATTCATAGTAAAGGTACAGATCAACAACTTCAGTATTATTAAACTGATAGTATTACTGAATATTAGGAATCTTTTGACCATGCATGAGCAAGCAAATGACCACAGTAACGAGAAACCCAAACTCTGACCAACAACATGAAAAGAAAAACTAAATAAAATCAAATAAAAAAGCCTTGTGAGAAACTAGACTCAGTCTACCAGTTCTTCTCGGGCTTATATTAAAGAACATGTGATCGGGGTGCACTCAAACACTAGCATTAGTAGGGAAACAAGAGCTGCATTTTGTCCAGCAGGTTGTAACATGAAGATACTGTAGCTTTACCAACTGCCAATTTGCTCACAGTAGGTGAATAACTAATCATAGCCATTAAAGGATTAGTTCACCCCCAAAATATAAATGAAGTCATCATTTTCTCACCCTCACTGTGTTCTAAATCCACAAGTAAATTGATCATTGGATCGTAAATGATATTTTCAATGCTACTTGAGACATTTCTGTCCTTCACTTGAAAGTCTATTCATCCAAAACACTTTTTTACTCTTCTGAGGAGACTTCAGGAGGTTCATTTAGGCTTTAATTTGTGTATAAAATGCATTGAAAACTTTTATGTGATTAACACATTTCATTTAGGCTTTTATTCATGTACATTTATTCATAGGCACTGGCGTTGATTTTAAAACTGTCAATTTTTCACTGGTATCTTACAAAAAAAATACATAAATAAATAAAAAAACAGACATAATGTGTTCAAACAGCTCCTGGGTTTAAGTATTTGCGCTCAGGTCTGATATAATCACTGCAGCCAGTTGTAATTCAACTAAAATCTCAACCAGGCTTGACATCTGTTTTCCTCTGGTTCTGTCTTTGTCTCTGTCGATGCACTAACCAAGCGGCTGTCTAAACGCATCTTCCTGTCGGCTGATTCCTCTCCTGTCCTCAGCCTCTGCTAAGACCTCCTATCCTTCACCAATGCAAGGTAAAGTGACATGTGCCCTGTTTGCTTGCAGTGGCACAGAGCTGCCAGAGTAGCACCAGCTGCAATGTGGTGCTCACCGACTCCCAGGGCTCTTTTACCTCCCCCTGCTATCCCAATGACTACCCACCCAGCCAGTCCTGCAATTGGACCATACAGGCCCCGGCTGGCTTTATAGTACAGATCACCTTCCTCGATTTCGAGCTCGAGGAAGCACAAGGCTGCATCTATGACCGCGTTGTCGTCAAGACCGGCACCAGCGATGCCAAATTTTGCGGCTTAACGGCCAACGGACTAACTCTCAACTCCACTGGAAATGTGATGGAGGTTTTCTTTAACTCCGACTTTAGTGTCCAAAAGAAAGGCTTCCATATCAGTTACAAGCAAGGTATGTTTATGATTTGGTGCGCTTTAGCACAACATGTTTGTTTACCTATTCTTTTATTAATTGATTAATTTTTTATGTTTATGAATATTTTATTGACTAGTATTTAATAATTTATAGTTATAATTATTTTGTTATATTTATTCATTTATGCTTGTGCCCCTTTGTCATTCACGGGATGCCATTTAATTATGTTCTGCTTTCTGCTTTGGAATTGTAGCTGGGAGGTGGAAAAAAGATTTATAGTCATTCAAGAAGAGTTTTAATGAACATAATATAAGTCCTCACTGACAGTATTATCTAAACTCTACCGTCCTGATTAATTTCACAGCTGCTTACAATTTTTGCTTTGCCTTTCACGCTAGTATCATCTCTACCATCAGTATCACCTCATTGTGTTTTTATGACTACAATCTCAAATTAACTATCAGTTTATTCAGGCTTTCTACTATTCTCTTAGTTTTGTCCTGTAAAATAATTTTAAATCAGTATTTTCTACTTGTTTTTAATGTGGGATATTTGGGATTATTTAATAACTTTATAAAGATTAAAATAAAATAAGCAGATTTGAGTAATACGTTTTTTTTTCTACCTAAAAGTAAAAAAAAAAAAAATAAATAAATAAAATCTAAATGTTTAAACTTGCAATTTTACAATATTTTTGAATTATGGCAAAACTTTCAGAGTAATATTTATTTATTTATTTATTTATTTATTTTACCACTAAAAGTCAGTTCATCTTTTTTATGCACTTCTGAAACATCAGTAATTTAGAGTAAATGAATCCAAAAATTAGGGATGGAACGATTCACTGTGAGTCTGTTAAAAATCGATTCAAATATGTGATGATAAAATTGTGTGTGAATGTACAAACCAGCAGACTGAGCACATTGTAAACCATTTGAAATGTTGTTTTGGTCATTCTAAAACGCCTTAGCCATCTTAGTATTAGTGTTATTATATTATTAATTACCTCCAGAACTGTTAAGAGCATCTGCGCCTCATGGCTTCAAATGCCACCATGCGTTCATTGCGTGTTGGCATCGTCTTCTGAGAAGCAAGTCATTTATTAAATGAAGAAAACATTCACATGATATTCCAGTTTCGCGCATAAATTTAATTAGCATGTTCAATGGAAACATAGCTATAGACTTCCATTTATACTGTATGCAAGCGAATGCGACAGACCAGAAACGCAAGCTGCGAAAGTGCATTACGTGATTAAGTGAGATGAAACAAAGATCCAAACATGACCTTTCTGTACAGAAATGTAAAATATGGACCGATCGTTTGCTTTTTTGAAAATGGCAAATTGTCTCATTTAATCCCGCCCCTTTTCACAGTGCCATACAACAGACTTTCATATGCTCAAACTCCAGTGTGTCTGATTGTGGTTGGAACTAAACTTTGCAGAACTCCAGCCCTCCAGGACTATGTTTGAACACCTCTGGCATTAACAGAGGTATAAGGAAAACTTGAACAGAACATATGTTACACCACACTTTCATATACAATGGAAGTCAGAATTATTAGCCCCCTGAATTATTACCCCCCCCCCTGTTTATTATTTCCCCAATTTCTGTTTAACGGAGAGCCGAATTGTTCAACACATTTCTAAACATAATAGTTTTAATAACTCATTTCTAATAACTGATGTATTGTATCTTTGCCATGATGACAGTAAATAATATTTTACTAGATATTTTTAAGACACTGCTATACAACTTAAAGTGACATTTAAATGCTTAACTAGGTTAATAAGGTTTCCTTGGCAGGTTAGGGTAATTAGAAAAGTTATTGTATGATAATGGTTTGTTCTGTAGACTATCGAAAACAAATATAGCTTAAAGGGGCTAATAATGTTGACCTTAAAATGGTTTTTAAAAATGTAAAGCTACTTTTATTCTAGCCAAAATAAAACAAATAAGACTTTCTCCAGGAAAAGAAATATATTATCAGACATACTGTGAAAATGTCCTTGCTCTGTTAAACATCATTTGGGAAATATTTAAAAAAGAAAAAAAAAATCAAAGGGGGGCTAATAGTTCTGACTTCAATGGTATGATCCAGAAACAAGAGTGCCTGGATACATTGACAGAAACACCTGCAATAAAAAAAAGCTCCAAAAGAAATAACAACTCACAATATATAACATTTTGTACTCAAGATAGACAGGTGTGAAAGTATCCATCATTACCTAACCACTTTCTTTTTTAGAGATGTAGAGAGCAACGTAATATTCTGTTATCTTCCCAGTGAATAGGTCTGAAAATGAAACCCCTTTGAGAACATGCTCATTAATGCTTAGCATTGAGCAAAGCCTTTGATGCTTCGTCAGCGTCAGACATCTGGTCATGTCAGGAAGCATCACAAATATAAAGTACAGGGATCTAATAGTGCAACTGGAGGTGTATTTTTCCATTCCAAATTGGTTGAGGTTTTTATATTAAGACGGCCAACAGACACAAACATCCGCCAGTTTAAATAAAGCATGTCAGCAAATAGGCCTCAAAAGCGGTGTTTTAAGGTGGGCAAAGGAATATGACTGTCTGGTTTGGAAGACGCTTAATATTCAAGTCTTAAGAGTGAATGCTTAATATAATGTTCCTGACAAACTTGGATGATTTCAGACATTAATGTCTCATTTGACGAAACATATTATGAAACAGTTGATTCACATTTGAATTTAGTTTGTGTTAGCAAATGTTCTGCCGGGTGCCTGACATTTTATTCTACCCATCAGATTATGCTACCAGCACTGTATGTGAATGGTTCTGAGGTTGGGGTTAGGGTTAGGTTAGGGCGATATCACAGCTTCAAATCACACTATCCCACATTACCATTTACACTGGGAGCAAAATCTGATGGGTAACCTATTGCCTCATCAAAACGTGCTAGCTACTTTTGAATGGGAGGTAGGACAATCTGACAAGGTACTGTAGGACAAATCGACAAAACAGCGGTATTATGTTTTCTACTTGCTATATATAATATTTGGTTTTATCACAATATTTAAAAAGTATACTAATTGCTTAGCATATAACTTTATTGTATATGCATATTCAGAGTAAATTTTGGATAAGTTAAATTGCAAAAGTGTCATAAAGTACTATATTTAACACATGGAATATAGTCTTATTAGTGAATGTTTGCTAATAAATGAAAATCAGCAGAGATTGCAGCATATTATAAACTGAAAAAATGATTCAGATATGATTTGTTGGATTTACTACATTTTTTGAAGTTAAGTGGTTGTAAACAATTTATTTGGGCTGAATTTAAACAAAGAAATTAAGTTGAACATCACCAGATTTAATTTGTTTGTTTAAATTCAACACATTTAATTAGATATCACAATTTTTGAATGTGTTATTAGTCACTATCAAAGAAATGAACATTAGCCAAGATTAATAAATGCTTTTGTGGTGATTACATTGAATTCAATTAAATAAACTGATGTTAACAGACACTGCAAAAAAAAAAAAATATATATATATATATATAAAAATAAATAAATGCTGGGTTTCTCACAATTTCTTCATGTTGTCAAAACAAAAATCAATTAAGTGAACTTAAATTAATCGTTTTTACAAATGTAAGTGGATTGAACTTAAAACAATAAAGTTTTCCCAAAAAACTTTAAGAATTGTATTGTTAAAACTCATTTTATATAAGTACAGTTTGAACAATCACCAATTGTCATATTTTGAGTAAATAAAGTCTTTCTGTACAGAGTTAATGAACAAAAGGCCTATAAATAATCAATGTCAATGGTGTAGGCAAGATTAACATGTGAAAATGTTAATGTTTAAAAAATAAATTGCTTATTAAGTCTTAAAACCTTTGATTCTGTGTTGATCAAACACTGCCAATACAACAATCTGAAAAAAAAAAAAAACACTCTACAAGTTAAAATAATAATTATTTATGCTAGGTTAGAAGTGTCCACAATATCATTATTATGCATGTATCATCATGATGTATTGAATTATTTGTCCCACTTTCTATTAAAACTAGTTAGAGTTAAACTGCATATTGTTGCCTTGTACTTGTACATGTGTAATGACAATAAAGTTGAATCTAATCTAATAAACTAGTATCTTGTAAACTAATGTTTTAGACAAGTTAAATTGCAAAAGTGTAATAAAGTACAGTATTTAACACATGCAATATAGTCTCATTGGTGATTGTTAGCTAATAAATTAAAATCAGCAGAAAAATAGCCATATTATAGGTATTGGGTAAAATAAAATAAGAAATAATGAATTTGATTGGGTAATGCAACTTTTGAGTGTGTTATTAGTCATTATCAAAAAAATTTTATTAGCCCAGATTAATAAATGCTTTTGTTGGGATTACATTGACCTTAAATAAAGTGATGTTATCAATTCCTTTATGTTGTCACAACAAAAATTAAGTTAACTCAAGTTAATTATTTGTACAAATTTAAGCAGATTGAACGTAAATCAACTATGTTGTCCCTAAAATACCTTAAGAATTGTATTGTTTAAACAAATTTTATGTAAGTAGTTCGAACAAGCACCAACTGTCATTTTTTGAGTGAATGAAGCCTTACTGTACTAAGTTAATGGGCAAAAGGTCTATAAATAATCAATGTCAATGGCATAGGCAAGACTAACATGTGAAAATGTTAATGTTTGAAAATAAATCGCCTATTAAGTCTCTTAACCTTTGGTTCTGTGTTGAACAACCACTGCCAATACAACAATCTGGAAAAAAAAACACTCTAAAGGTTTAATTAATAATGAATTATTTATGATTTTTTAGAAGTGTCCTCGATGTCAATATTATGCATGTTCATCATAATGATGTATTGAATTATTGATCCCACTTAATGGTAAGTAACCTTAACTATTGTGTGCATCAAAAAATGTATACAGTGTACTTATTGTGTTCATAGTGTATTGCAGAACACTTCTGAGGCTCTTGAGGTGATACTTGGTTGTGTGGGTAGGTTTAAGGGTTGGTTAAGGTGTAAGAGATGGTCAACAGTGTACTGTAATTACATGTAATTACAGAAATTATTTACAGATGATATCAATACAATGTTTTTACACAATAAGAACTTTTTATTACAGATGATTAATTTCAGTGTAAGTACATATTAGTTAAAGCCACGTAATATAAAGTTGGACCGAATTATTGAGTAATCAGCAAGTGCAATGCCAAGTTCAGATCATCAAATGGTTTGAATTTTATTAATTCCACAATAACTAAATGCTTCCAATTGTGTTATATATCGCAAAATCTAACATGTTTTTTTTTTTCTTTTGCAGTGGCAGTGACTCTGAGGAACCAGAAAGTCACAATGCCAAAAAGCAGCAAGACTATACTGAGAGTGTCTAATTCAATCTCCATTCCTGTTCTGACTGCCTTCACGGTGTGCTTTGAGATCGCCCGCACTGCACAGAAGGCCACAGAGACCATATTTACCCTAAGCGACGCTGCTGGGACGTCTATTTTGGCATTTGAGAAGACATCAAACGGCATGGAGTTGTTCATTGGCGCTTCCTACTGCTCAGTAGATAACCTTCTCACCAGCTCAGACATTACGGCCACTATGAAACCGCTCTGCCTCACCTGGACCAAGTCTTCTGGCCTCATAGGAGTGTATTTTGGAGGCCACTATTTCTCCAGCATCTGCTCGGCCTCTCAGATTTACACACTGCAGAGTGGCGGATTGCTCCAAATTGCTGGAAAAGGGTCGAGCTCGGTCAGCGTGGATGATCAGAATTTGGATGGCTTCATTTACAACTTCCGCTTGTGGGATCACGCCATGCTCAGCAGCGAGCTGTCCGCGCTCACCTGTGATACTGTGGGTAATGTCGTTGACTGGGATCATTCCTACTGGACTATCCCAGGCTCTAGCACGCAGACCGACAGCACGCTCAGCTGCAGTGAGTATACCGTATCAAATTTATTCTGGTTTATATGGGATTAATAATCAAGAGAGATTATTTTTGGAGAGTTTTGCACACCAGTAATATAATATTTGATAAATATATGAGAGTTTAGGATATATATATATATATATATATATATATATATATATATATATATATATATATATATATATATATATATATATATATATATATATATATATATATATGATGTGGTTGTAGATAGATAGATATTTAAAATTAATTTCATAGTAAAAAAATATCCTAATAACCTTAACTCAGAACTTCAAGCTAGTGCACTGAACTTTTAGTTGCAGTTGTTACAGTAGATGTTTAAATGCACACAGGATGTAACAAAACAATATTAAACTGTGTGTTTTTGTGTATTTGTAACCCTGCAAATAATATAAGTGCTGTGCATACAGTTCTGCAGTTTTTTTTATCAAGTGTTCTGTTCACACTGGAAATGCATTGTTATCCAAGGTGTCAATGCAGTCCAACTGAAGTATTTGCAGATACTTTCCAGAAACATATTAATATTTAAACTAGATTTAAATGGGATTTTACTTTGACCGCTACTTGTTCAGTTTCTTATAATAAAAAAAATATGCTGAAAGAGTCTTGAGAACCAAATTTCTTCCCACTTAAGACAGCACTTTTAAAGTCCTTCAAATGCCCTCCAACTTTTGGGTGGAATATAGCAGAAGCAGTCATGACTCACATGCATAACAAGCCTCACCAGGGACTGCTTTCTTCCACTTTGCTAGGTTCCTGAAACTCTAGATGCCCAGCACAGCTTGGGTCAGAAGCCCATGGAAAAAAGCGTCACTTTAAACTATGGTGCCTCAGATCAAAAGCATTAACTCGCTCAGTAACTTTCTGTTTCCTAAGACAGATAAAGCTATACGTCCTGTGTGAACATTTGGTCCGTGTTAGTCTTGGAAGTTCAGTTGGAATTATTTTCCCCGGATAACCTAACCTAATAGTTTATATCCCTGTTAAAGACTCCTTGTCTGGAGAACAGAGAGAGCACTGATTCCTCATCCTTTAGATAACAGATCATATCCAAATCTTTAGTGACACTTTGTTTTTTACTGTATGTAAATTGGGTCCTATTATGTTCATAAGAAGTCATTTCAGTTTCAGGTATCTTCAGAATGAAGTTTCAGCTCAAATATATTTATGCTTTGCACTTTTATATAAAATTATGGAAGTATATCCTGGACATTTTTTTTTTTTCAAATGCAATTGCAAATAGGATTTGCTGATTTTAAATAGGATTTACAATAGCTTTTTCAGTATGTGGATGCATAAATTGTGACAACCCAAATTAGATTTCAAATCCTCCATTATCGTTCGCATTTCTGCAAATGTGCAGTGACTACCACATTTCAAATGAAAAGTCCATTTGCAAAAACACTTCCTATGTCTTACGAGCTATGAACATCTAAATAGCAATACTAATGTAACATTCCAAAACTCAAATGGAATTGCAAATCGTTTTGCATTAGAATTTCCAATGTCTACACTGAAACCTGACAATCAAACAACAGGGGTGGAACTACTTGGGTGTGTTTTGTATTCGGAAGCCGTGACATATCTGTGACATGTCTGTGTGGAATATTGTTTTCGGGTCAAAGCAGCTGCTCTATTGAATTGAGAAAATGTTCGTTATGACCACTTTTTAGTCATATCACACATTAAAGTCAATTTGATATAAAATCATGGTGTACATATCAGTCTTTGGACTTGTTGCGTCACAGATATCAAAATTTTAACATTAACAAAAAAATGTGTTGCTAATGGACACGTCGTGTTTGAAAGTGAAGAAGGTCTTGTCAGTTTAAACTCCTTTTAGGCAGTTTTCTGAGTGTCCAGACACAAAGCAATTGTACACAAAGTAGTATTTTGGATGGCATTTTACATTAAACTTAAGGTTATGTCAGTCACTCACAAAACCTATTAGTTTTTTTGTGTCTCTAATTGTAAACTGTTGCAGCAAATCATTCATTTTAAGGAGTTCAGAAACACTGCTTGCTTGAATGTAACCTAAATAGTAGACTTAAATAGTAAAAAGAAAGTCTAAATAGCATAATAGGACCCATTTAAAGACGTCTGAGTGTTGAATGTTTTATTTGATTAAAGGAAAAGGTAATTGCGACGTGACATTCCCATTGAGGCTATACAAAATTTTGTTTATTCGTTCATAATTTAAATTGGATATTGATGTTCAGTGCGGAGTCCTGCTGTATGAATGCAGTGTGATTCATGTTTTCCAAGGTTTTTTGGATTATCTTTTCATTTAAAAGAGAAGTGTTGTGTTTCTTCACCAGATGCTACTTACATATAACTGCCATTCCCTAACTTGAATTGAGTAAATTGCCTTTACTAACTGTCCTTTTTTAAAAAGCAACTAATTTCTCATCTTCTTTTGCAGTCTGTTTCCCAAATTGCATTCACTTAAAAGCTTCAACTAGTGGTGAGTTTACTGCTAACATGCCTAATACAGTATGTGTGTAACTGCTAGCTTTGCATTGTGAAGGCCATGCATGAAGAAACATATAATCAATGTTTTGCTGTACCTGCAGATGTGTTCATAATCATGTTTTCTGTAAATCTGTATTGTCCAGTGTACTTGTAGAGTGTAGTTTTGAGTTTTCAAATGTTTATGACAGTATTCCCATCAATACATTAGGCATCACTTTCATGGACGCAATCTCATCAAGCACATTTCAACTGCTTATGAAAGTGGTTTAAAGTTGACGAGCTTAAAACATTTTATTTCCCATTAGCATATGTATTTAGCATCATTCACTTGTGATCTGGGGTGCGTTTCCCAAACAATGACATAACTTGTGGCTGAACTATCATAGGACGATCCATCGTTTGGAAAAAGAATGATGTTGTGACCAGTGATTCCGTAAGCTGAAGTTTCTCTTTGGCAGATCCATCTTTTGAACCACGTTAGTTATAATGTAAAACGTCCATAATGACACTATGAACGGGGTGGAGTAACAACTTCTTTAGAAAAAATCCCAATATTTTATGTTTAACATGCACACACTTCTTTTTTAAATCCAATATTACTTTTAGTAAAAACATGCACTGGTTTTCTATATAAATTTAAATATATGTAAACATCACATATTCACCTTATTCTTCGCTGACGAGCAGGCGCAGCCATTTGAATCTTTTTGGCTCGTGACTTCCGCTCTCATTCACTTCCATTCATTTTTAGATATTAAGTGAGAGCAAGTAGTTTGACTGTTTTTTGCCGTTTATTATTCCTAGTCATTTCTCCCATAGGCGACTGAATCAGAAGTTCTAAAACAATCGCAAAAACAGGCGCACTTTCGCATTTTAGAATAAGGTCAATAGGGCCTATGTTTTTTTAATAAATATTATTAAGAATATTCCATATTCTATTCTGAAACATAAAACCACTTACAACAAGCTAACACATACTCTTATGTATAAATCATGAGGTTAATGGTTTCAATTTATAGTACTCTATCTATTAAGACAGGGGTTCCCAAACTTTTCAGCCCACGACCCCCAAAATAACAATGCTAGTGACTCCCGACCCCCAATATCCTCTGAGGTGGGTATAAATACAGAAACCTTGCATGCAATGACGCAGACACACCAATTAAATTTGTGTCAGTGCTTTAAATGTGCCAGAAAGTATAACCTGATGTTATAAAATCAAAATGCATCTGACGCTATTGCTGCCTTTAATATAATGTAATTACCCCAGGGGTCGCAATCCAATAGAACTAGTAACTATAAGCTACTATAGTAACTATATAGTATATAGTAACTATAAACGACTATTTTTATTTTCAGTATAGTTATGGATAAAATATGTTAATTCTTATGGTTTAATAACAATAAATAGATTTTTGGAAATCACCAGGCGACCCCCCTTCATTGCCCCGCGACCCCACGGGGGGTCCCGACCCCTACTTTGAGAACCACTGTATTAAGATATAAACAATATCCTACTTAATAAATAGCCTAAGCTACTATAAATTAAAACCATTAATGTAACCTATATATTTTTGTTTTCACGTAGATTCCACTTTCCATATAGTTTTTGTTGTGAGCGACGGCTGCGTTCAAAATGGCATAAATGTTTTCAAAGTGCACTACGAAAGAAGCACAATTGTCACTATGAAGATTGCTCAAACTGAAGTGTAAAAAATACTTTGAAAGCAAATTACATGTGAGAGAGATGACTTTTTTTTTATTATTCCAAGTTTAAATGTTGGAACATTCTAAAGGAATATGGCTCGGGGAATAGAACACAACTAAAAACTATGATACTAACTACAGCTCTAGAGGTATAGTTTCAATTGTACAAATTTGCAAAGCAGTTTGTAAATGTTTGTTGGAACGAAGGATTTGGGAAACACCAAATCAACAAACTGTGTTTGTAACAATGAAGTTGTGACCTTGGTTGGCTGATGATGTTTTTTGGAAACGCACCCCAGATTGACAAAAATCAAGTGTAACCAAACCAAGTGTAATCAGGCCCATGATATCAGTAAATTGAAATTGAGAACAAAAGTTTATACCTTTTTTATCCCCAATATCAGGTAAGAGTCAGGTGATTCGCTGAGGTCTAACATTAAAGAATGAATCCTTCATAAACTAGATTTTGACTAAATATTTTTGACCCTGAACCACATAAGTCAATAAGTGTCCATTTTTGGAAATTAAGATTTGTGCATTATCGGAAGTTGAAAAAATATGATTTTCATTGCAGTATACTTTGTTAGGGTAGTACAAAACTTGTCTGAGAGCCACCTATTTTTACTTGATAAAATTGTGTTTAAAATTGTTCGAATTAAGTTCTCAGCAATGCATATTATTAATAAAAAATATTGAGTACTTTAAGAAATTTACAAATATCTTAATGGAACATGATCAGAATAGTCTAATGATTTTGGTCAATGACAAATCAATAATTTTGAATTTACATTTTGAGTTTACCAATGCAAATCTTGACCAGTTTTGTGGTTCAGGGTCTCTTTTTCATTGTGTGTCTTTTATTATTTCGAAAGAAAAAAAAAAAAAGGATGAGGGATATTTTTTAAAGGTTCACTTTTTTGTTCCAGGATGATATTAGGCTCAAGAAATAGTCAATGAATGTTTTTTTTTCTTATTTGAACTACATTCCTGTTTCCATTCATTCATTAAAAATCCTTATAGTTTCAGTGCTAGACCAGTTCCTGACCAATTTGGCTTTAAGCTAGCTAGCCTTAACCTTAACAGAAACAGTGTAAGACCCCCTCAGCCCACTGCAGACAGTTAGACGCTGGAACCTATGACACATAACTATTTCCTTCACTCAGTTAAAACCAGCTGTGCTTGTGATGTTGGCATGAAGTCAAGAGGCCCGTGAAGTTGAGCCCAGAGCAAAACTAATGCTGTCACTAATAAGCATGCTTTTAAAATGCTACCCTCCCTTCTTTCCATTGGCTACTCGTGTGCTTCCCTCTCATCCTTTGACAAGAGCGGTGGGAGATGGTGATCCCACCTAGCATGAAAACACAGCAGAAGAAACTCTCCTCAGATCAGCACAGAGTTTTTTTCTCGACCTGCCTTTTAATGCAGAACTTCAAGAAGATCAGAGACTCTGCTACTGTATCATGCTCGATAGTTGCCACAATGCGATGTCTCTGTTAATATATTTAAGACTTCTACTGCTACTTCTTTCCAGTGACGTGCTATGGATTAGTTCCTTTGTGGGGTTGGACACTTGAATCCATTCATTTAAAATGAATTCACAAATACCTGTAACACTTTACAAAAAAGTAGAAGAATAATGATGAGTTAATATGTAAATTAACATTACTTTATTATGAATAATGCGTGCGCTAACCATGAAGTAACTTTACTACAACATGAGTCGCATGAGTTCATGTGTGAATAAATGGCTACCTTAATTAGTACATGCTTGTTTGTTAATTAATGTATTAATTACAACATTAGTTTATGCTTAATTTAACCATCATGAACTCATAATATGTTACTGTATAAGTGTGCCAAGACTTTACTTGAAGGGGATTATCAGCATTAATCCATTTTAACTACTCATGAACTGCGTATGCATGTCCCTCTAGTGCAGAGGTCTCAAACTGTCCTTACATTTACAGCCCGCCCTCCTCCTCCCTCCGGCTCGCAACTGATGTCAAAAATATGTGCATACTCACACTATGACATCGGAACCGTGCCCAGGCCGTTTCCTAGATTGTTTCAGAAGTGTGAGTGCTCTGAATGGGGCTCAGGCACGGTTCACTTGGCCCGCTCTGACCCAATTTGAAGAGGTGTGCCAGAGCGTGGTTCACTTGGATACGTTTGTAGTGTGAGTGCAAAGCGCACCTGAGCCCGAAACTGAAGACGAGACATGATTTTTAAGGGACTGTTTCATATGGATTTATTAATCATTCTTACTGTTCAATGAATGCAAATTGTTGTAGATTATTAAAGACGCAAACCCCTCACTACACGACAGCTGCACCTTCAGCAAATCTCCTAATTCCTGCAGCACGAGGACTTTATGATTGTTGATGAGCGTCAAAAGTGGCTGATCTTTTCAGCAAAATATTTGACTGTGTGTCAGGTTCAAGGCAACTGTACATTGTGTGAGTACGCCATAAAACAAAATTCGGCCATATATTTTTGCAATCGCATCTAGCCACTTGTGGTATTGACCCGTCACTTAATCAACATTTAAAATACTGCATTCAGATTAGTTTTACTTTCATTTTCTCTCAGTGGACGGTCAAGAGAAACACACATGCTTTTAATTCTAGGGCTGATTTAAACGTTAAAATTTATGTACGTAAATGCTCTATTTTTTACTAAAGTGCTATTTTTGTGGTCGTTTGATTATTATCAGTTATAGATCACTTGTTTTTAATTGTACAAACACTTCTTCATGGCTTACGCATTATTATGGTGTTTTTCAATTTGCTTATATTCGATTCAGATGGTCTCATTTAATAGATTTTTCTTATATACTTAAGATTTGAAAAAAAACATGTACATAAGTAAAATTGTGCTGCTAGTTGAATTGAACTTGTTAAGGTAAATGTAAATACATACCCCCCCCCCCCTTTTTTTTTTGTTCTAGTTTTACAAAAAAAAAAAAAGATATTGAGAGGAACAATTGCAAGTACAGTCAACAAAGCTACCCAAACTGCTTGCTGCTGTTCTTATGCTATTGGGACAAATAATAGGCAATTATTATGCCTATTATTTGTAGTATTTTCAGAGCAAATTTAACTACCCCTTCAATATGTACAACAAGAAACAAAAAGCTAGAATTTTGACTGCATATACTCAGTGGAAGAATGACTTAGTGTGTCTCTAATGCTCGGCCATACACACGTGCGATAAACGTGCTGATTTGCATTATCAATGTTGACAGGTACTGCTTGAAATATATAACGTCATGTCTGTTGTCCTAAGATCAATTACATATTGATTAAGATCTATTACAATTCATCAATTACATCAGGTTTCCACTTTTTTGTTGTGCTTGAATTTTAAAATCAATTGTCAGTCACTGCAATGGCCCCATGCCAGTTTGAGTTTGAGACCCCCTTGTCTAGTGCATTTACACTGAATAACAATAGAAAAGTGTTTAGTCAACATCAATATTAACAGTTAAAAACAGGAGGTAATTAAGTGTTACCCAAATAACTTGTCCTCAAAGCTTAAGCCAGAGTTATATTGTGTTTGAAAAAGAATCTTTTTCTGCCGGAACCAGTAGGTTTGCTTTTCGTTTTGAACTTCAAACCCTCAAAAATCTCATGCAAAATTGGAAACGTTGTTGGCGGGAGAGGTAAAATTTTGGTCTGTGCCGAATGCTCAGACATGCTTTGATGAGGATTTCATTGACTAAAGCTTAACCAATAGATTTTCATCGGAAGGTTTTCCTTTTTGTAGACTGTTTGGCATTTAAATTGTGTTCAAGGTTTAGTGTCACTTCATGCATTCAAGCATTTTGTTTAGACACAGTTTAAGCTTCATGTCAGAAACTAGCGGATGAATCAGGCCGATCTGAAGAGCAAAATAAGATGCAATTTGGTATTTCACACGTCCCTAATGGATTTGTGTTGAGAAAAGGTGGCATTCCTGGGCCTCGATCAAACCAGCCGGCAGAACATTTCTGTCATTCAACTGTGGCAAATTATTAAATTCCACCTTTGAGCCGTGGCTGATGTTCAAGTTTCTGTATGGACATTTTGAGGTCACATTCCGTTGTCAAAGCCCAGAGGAGTGATGGGAAATCTATGACACTTTTTACAATCCAGCTCTTGTCCTTAGTTAGACTTGAATTGCTATTTTTGGACATAAATGAGACTTCTGTCCATTTTAAACCTGGTTCTATTTATGAATGTTTTATAGCAGTATATTTATAGATATTTATAAGTATTTGTCCATAGATTTTGGCTTTAAATGGTAAAATATTATGTGTGTTTTCTCAGTGTTACCATGTTTTCATGCTAAATACAGTATTTAAATAGTTTTCATTTTTAACATTGATTAGAAAACGTCAACTATTTAAATCTTTTGTAGGTACTGCCATAACAACTCTTTCACCAGGAACCGCAGGTTGTGCTTCTGGACTTGGCTGCCCAGGTAGGAGGAAATGTCATTATTACAATTTTTTTGTATTTGTTTCCTGGATGATTAGTTGACCCATTATACAACATTTTGCTTCATCCAAGACAGTACCTCTTTTGTGGTATTTATGTGACTTTCTAATTAATTATGTCATTTACCCACTTTTTACTCTCCCTTAAGGATTTAAAAAAAAATTCATTCTGCTGAACACAAAATAAGACATTTTGAAGACTTTTGGTTATCGGTACCCATTGATATCCAGTGTTGGGGAAAGTTACTTTTAAAAATTATGCATTGCAATATTGAGTTACTCCTCAAAAAAGTAACTAGTTGCATTACTTAGTTTCTTTTTATGGTAAGTAAGGTGTTACATTACTTTTGAGTTACTTTTTACTACCTGACTGAGGATTGATCTCTTTCAGAACTGTTTCTTTCTTTTAAATAAGGAGCTCTGCAATTAACAACACACTGTATAACCTACACCTTCATTTACCTTTAAAAAAACACATTAACAATAATTTAGGATAATGTTGTCTGAGAACTTCCTGACCCCAGAGCTATACATGCAATATTTACAGTTTCTTGAAAGCTTAAAGCAATGTGTTTGCTACTTTTGTACTATTTGGCTTAATAAAATCAATGTCTATTGAGAGCTTTTCTGTTTCTTTGTTGTGTTCAGAACAATGAACTAATTCTCTCATTGACTGATTGATGACATTATTTATTATGACTACTTTAATTTTAATTAATTAAACTAAAAAGTAACTTTCATTACATTTTCAAAAAAGTAACTCGAATATTAGTACTTATTTTTTAAAAGTTAAGTGTTACTTGTTACTTAGAAAAGTATTATTACATAACTCACTTTACATGTAATGCATTCCCCCCAACACTGTTAATATCCGAAGTCAAATGCTACCAGTATCCATCATTCTTCAGAATATCTCCTTTTGTATTCAACAGAAGAAAGAAACTCAAAACAAATTAGGACAAGTGGAAGGTGGATAAATGATGACAATTTTCAATTCCCAAAAATTAAAACTCACCCTGACTTATTACATTATTCTTTTGATTCTTACTGTTGCAACTTTAACAAGAATATAATTTATATATAGCTTTTATAAAAACATGACAAACAATACTTAACTTGCATCTCTTAGACGTTGTTGGTGAGCATGCAAAACAAAAACAGCTTTCCTTTCACTCATTAAGGCATGTTAAACTGAACTGGTGGCCAATAAACGTCCACCATCAGCTGAGAGCCATGAGAATCCTCAGGCCTCCTGTCTTTAGTAATGTCCATTAAAGGACATCGTCCCATTTGAACAGTTTTGCTTCTTTCCCACCGGTTGGTTCATTGCATAATATTCATTCCCATGTAGTACCAAAATGGCACATTTATGCCCGTAGACAGTTTGAGTGAAGTTAGTTTTCCTGATTTAGAAATATCTCGTTAACCGGTTCTTCTTATCATTGAACTCTGTCAGTCATGGTTGTCTTTTCTCTTTATCATTTTATTTCAGGTTATGATTGACCTAAAATATATATTCAGATAATTCCACATTTGTGTTGTTTTAAATAGGGGTGCAATTAAATCACAACAATAGTTCAGTTTCACAAAAACAACTACATTTGTATTTTATTTTAGTTTTTGTTGTACTCGCTCATAAACTGAACATGTAATAAGCCTGCATATGACGTCGATGTTTTTAAAAGTGTTTTTGTAAATTTAATGGAGACAATAACTGTATCATGTTCAAACATGTGTGTTTTCAGACACTAAAATGCAGTTGTCATTTACAGTTGAAGTCAAAATTATAGCCTTCCAGTGATTTTTTTTTTTCAAATATTGCCAAATGATGTTTAACAGAGCAAGGATTTTTTTTCACAGTATTTCCTATAATAATTTTTATTTTTTTTTTGTTTTATTTTGGCTTGAATAAAAGCAGTTTAAAAATTGTTTTAAACCATTTAAAGATCAGTTTTTAGCTCTCTGTACCAATATTTGTTTTCAATTGCCTACAGAACAATGACTTGCCTAATTACCCTACCCTGCTTAGTTAACCTAACTCACCTAGTTAAGCCTTTAAACAGCACTTTACACATAAAATATTATATAATGTAGATAAAATGTTATCATGGCAAAGATAAAAGAGACAAGTTATTAGAAATTAGCTATTAAACTGTTATGTTTAGATGTTTGTTGAACACATCTTTTTGTTGTTGTTGTTAAAACAGAAATTGGGGAAAAATATTCAGGGGGCTGATAATTCTGACTTCAATTGTAAATGCAAGGTCAAAATGCTTACAGCTTGCTGTTTTAGTTGAAGGCAGAGTCTGAAAATGCCCTCTAAAATATAAGTTTCTATCTCTAAAGTTTGATGGGGCACTTGTAATTGCCTCCTTAAAATTCCATATTGAATATTTTTTATCTGGCTGTCATATTTGTGAGAGTATAAAGATGGAAAAAGGACATATTTGCTTAGTTTATAACAGATGGTTTACCAGGTACTACAAATTATTAGTAGTAGTAGGCCTATCCTAAAAATCAGCAGATTTCCACAGATTTTTAGCCCATTATCGAGTCTATTTATTTACTTGTATAAATGTGTGTAAATTTATATTTATTCAGTTTTTTTATTAATTTCAGTAATATTATTGACTAATATGAACGTTCACATGATTTATTTATTTATGATTTATAAATTACAGTTTGTAAAATAATATTTTCTGTAATTTGATAGATATATTATATGAGGGACTTGCTTTATCTACCAGTTAAGAGGATCTAATTGAATTTGCATTTGATAAAAAAACACTGAATAAACATTCAAATGTATTATTTTTTTATTTCATATATTCAGTTTTTAGTAATGATACTCCCAAAATCATTCCACATAAATCTGCAGATTTTGAACAAAATTCTTCGCAGAAATAGCTTAAAATGTAGCCAATTCTGTCTGGCCCTACAAGTTAGACAGAAAATAGTATGGAAAAAAAGCAGGGGAACACCTTCCTTATCAATAGTGTTAATTTCAAGGGATCGTTAACTTTCAAGGGTGACATAAAACACATTTGTTGGCCATTTTTTTTTGTCATTAAATAGTTTCCAGTCATTCTCATTATTATTATTTTTATTTTTTATTTTTGGGTTAATCGCTTGTTTCCATATCCATCTCACCCTACGCTATGCTGTTCAGTTGCTCCACCATTTTTTCTTGCATTTTTTTTTTTTGGTTTCCCCTTTTACCTTTATTTAATGCCAGTGTGCCCTTCTTCCATCCCTGCCACCAGCAACATTAACTGTTACCATCACATCCATTGCCACCACTAACATCATTCCTACTAATGCAACAACCCACGGTAAGCATTCACCTCTGCCTTTTCATCATTGTGTTCTTTTTGTTTTATGGGAGAAATGCAATTTGCCTATAATGCAGAACAGGTGGTGGTCAGCTCATTTGGAGAACTGCTAAAGTAATGTTCCATTGAAAACGGAGGATGTTATATTATCACCAGTGGCCATATTCCAGAATGTTTAGCGACTTTCAAAAGTAGATTTGAAAAAATGCCAATGTCAATGGTTTCTTTGTATGGTGAATCAGCTAAATTTTTATTATATATATTTATTGTGTATATATATATATATATATATATATATATATATATATATTTATATATATATATATATATATATATATATATATATAGCTCGATTTGCCTTGTTGAAATGTTCATTTCTGTCATGTCATTTTTGTTTCCCATTAAATTAAAAGTTAGTAGGCTGCATTCATTCCTTTTTAAAGTCTTTTCTGTCTTTTCCTCTTTTATTTCTTCTGTTCTGGCATCAAATAATGCCGGGACAGTGTCTTCATTCAAACAGATGCTAGTTAAGGAAGGAACAGTGTATTCAAAATCAAATTATCCATCCTTATGTTAAGTCGTGCCATCTGCTAAACACTTTTATTCCTTATTTTTTCACCATCCCATTCCAAGTCAAATATTTTTAAAAAGTAGATTAAATCAACTAAACTTTATTTTTGAACTTTGAAGATGGATGCATATAAAACTTATTATCTCTCTGATTTTTTATCAGCTCTTACTACTACTACTATTTCACACCCATCTACTTTTAGCATGCCTCTAACCACAACTGGTAAGCACATTTCTAGGTTTCCTACTGTTTTATATTCTCTTTTAATGAGGTATGATAAATGCCCTCACTAATGCGTGTGCACGGCTCTGCCTCTTTAGCTTTACTCACACCAACTACTACTGTTAAAACAACTACTAGTGCTCATACAGAAACACCAACAACTGCTATTGCTAAAACAACAACTACTGGTAAGCTAACGTTTATTGAGTACCAAACTCCTTTTCATTTAAGCAATTAATGTGTTGTTTTATATTTACCTACTAACCAAACTTAAATATGTCTGTGTGTACTATCATTAGTACCAACTACATCTAACCTGCCACCCATCCAACCTGGTAAGATATCAGTTCTGCAGAAGATTTATTATCAATCCAGTTTTGTTATCCAAAATGCTCAATCTTGTCTAGAATTTGCCATTATGCTTCCAAGATCTGATTATTTTACCCATTTACCTTTATTTGTTGTTCTGTCAGACTTGATGTGACCCTGGACCACAAAAACAACCATAAGTGTCAATTTTCTGAAATTGAGATTTATCCCAGCAGACACACAACATTACAAGATGTTAATATTACTCTGTAAAAATAGTTGGGTTAAAAAACACCCCAACATATAACCCAACTATAGGTTACTATAGCACCTTCCCAACTACGGTTATTTTAAACCCAATGCATTGGGTAATTTAACCAATGCATTATGTTATTTTGATTAAATATTGTTATTTTTCATTCTGGTATTGCTATTGCTACTATTAATAGTACTACTATTACTTTTATAATTATGACTGTTTAAATAAACAACATACCGTTTAAAATACTTAAAATGCTGTATTTTCACATTTTAAATTCCAGACACTTTTGTTAAAATAATACAAGAATCACAAATAATGAAGAAACAAACAGTACCTTAAAGGGCCATGAAACCCCCTCGTTTCAGCAGGGTGTTTTCACACCTCTACTTTGGAAAAAGTCAGAAAAGTGGGCGTGTCCAGCTCTGTTTAGGGGGGAGTGTCGGAGGAAGAAAAGTGGGATGGTGTGGGAGTGTCTATTTGGGCACGCGCGAGTTTCAGAGTCAAAATTCACACACACAGTAGAAAGTGATGGTCTTTAACCTACATGGACATCTGTAGTCGAATTATTTGCCAAATTATTAAATGGTGGACTTTAACTGCAGTTTGGCTCTTTCATTCAGGGAATTCATTCATGCCCCTCGCGACAAAGGAGATATTTGATTCGAGGATCTGCTCTAAGCATGTATTTTCATGCAATGTTTGATACCGCACGGCGAATGAGAGAAAAAAAACCCTCCGCATTTCCCAGAAACTTAGATGCACACGGCAGGTAGTGTCAGAGAGCCGCGTGTGTTATTCCAGTCACTAAATGCGGTAAAAATCCTACACGAGGTTAAAGTTTGGTTGTGGTGCTAATGTGTTTACACTCGGTGCAATAGTTTGTTAGATACGAACAAACTGAATAAACAAAGAGCACTGGTCGCTCACTTACCAAATCTGTAGAGACAGGACAATCACCAGCAACTACTAGAGCCGCGTCTTTATGAAGAGAATACTACAAGCGAATCCGGATCTCAGCGTTTGCAGATGAGAACAGCTCTCAGGTAAACAATAATCCTCCTTAGACCCGTAAGTTTTTGTTGTCGAGCGTCGCGTACACTGTTAAACCACACGTGACTCTGAGCTCTCACAGAGAGAAAATGAAAACGAAACTTAACTGCAGCAAACAATAAAAGCAACTCTTCACGCTTGTTTTGCCAACACAACGTGGCGTCTCTGTCCTGAAAACACGTTGATAGTAATGAATATTAATGAAGTTGCACAATAGAGCGCGCTGATTGGTTTGAACCAAGCCTTACTCATGCATTAATGCATCACACTGTAAGACGTAATAAGACACACTCTGGCATAGACGCCCAGTCTGCACGCAGGAATACAGGCTATTATGTCATGACTGTGACGCAGCTTCAAAATTCGTTTCAAACCGGAAGTACAAATTTGCTTGAAATAACGCAAAAACAACCAATTTACACTTTTTAGTGAAATATAGGTGTCTTAATAGTGTTTTTAGCAGTGTGGGACACATATACGAATGTCAACAGCTCAAAAAATGTGTTTTGGTGTTTCGTGACCCTTTAAAATAGATAACAAATCCTCTCCCAAATAATGATGATAGCAAGCCACTACTCTTTTGTCCAGGATGACTTCTTCATGACTAAAGAAAAATGCATTGGGATCGTTAAGATCAAGTCATCGCCCTCTAGTGGCAAATAATAATCACTACGGTAATGCTCCGATTCTCCATTTCTTGGGAGAACTAGCAACTTCTTAAATAAAATGTAGCAAATTTATGTGTCTATTATAGTATTTAAATGTTACGATATAGTTTTTTATAGAAAGGAAATGTGTTTTTTATAAAAAGGCTACATACAGTACCTTTACCTAGACTGCACGCGCACACTGGGTTGATGTCTCCGCTGGGTCCTAAAGATGAGAATGACGACCGATTATCTCAAATATGTGTTTTAATCCCCCGAAAAATGTTGAGATGAAGACGAAAGGTAGATAAACTTTTTTTCTGTTTAATATAGATAGTTTTTTTCTACTTTAAACAAGCGTTTGTATCATTATTAATTAAGAGTACTGGTGAAACAGATATAAATATCAGCCCGTGCCTGGAGAGAGGTAAACATGATAAAAATAACTTATATTATTGCGTTAGAGCTTAAATAGACTTAATAATGCAAAAAAAAAACATTACACACGCATATCAACATATATCTGTTCTGTGTCAGTTAAAGCAGTTGAATGTTGAAATTCTCATTTTTAACCCAACTGGTTGAGTTTTTAAATAAATAACCTAATATAGGTCAAAAATACCCCACAAAGCACCAAATATTTATAACTCAACCATTGGGTTAAATAAATAACTCAATGTTTTTTAGAGTGTAGGTCAATTTTAGGTCGCCAGCATCTAAAGACAATGTTATTTTAACGTCCAATAAAGACATAAAATGACATTGGTATTTTCTTGATTTTAGGTTGTGTTGGAAAGTGACCAAAATCCAACGTCGAGCCAATATCTTAAACCAACGTCATATTGACGTCAAATACTGTTTAGTTTAGTTTATTTGTTTACAGCGTCAATGCACTTTAATAAACATTACTGTAAATTGTGTCAGAATTAGCCAAGAATGGCTATTTTTCATCTGTAGACCCCTCACAGAATTAAAAAAAGTCACACCTAAAATCGAAGCACAGAATAATAACATACAGGGTGGGCTATTTATATAGATATCTAAATAAAATGGGAATGGTTGGTGATATTAACGTTCTGTTTGTGTCACATTAGTAAACGTGAGGTGGTAAACTTTTCAAGATGTGTTGGTGACCATGTTGTCCATTTTAAAGTCGGCCATCTTGGATCCAAATTTAGTTTTTTCAATAGGAAGAGGGTCATTAGACAGATCCAACGAGTTTAGAATTTCACAAGAAAAACAGTGGTGTGCTTGGTTTTAACGTAACTTTATTCTTTCATGAGTTATTTACAATTTCTAACCACTTATAAAATGTATTCAACGTGCTGCCCATTGTGATGGATTGTCAATGCAACCCTCTTCTCCCACTCTTCACACACTGACAGCAACAACACAGGAGAAATGCCAGCACAGGCTTCCAGTATCCGTAGGTTCAGGTGCTGCACATCTTGAGAGGAATAATACAATCCCCTCTTTCACCACCTCTAGTAGTTTGGTGAGCAGTCGTTCTAACGTTCACAAACTGATTTAGTGGTGAAGTCGGATTATGTTGTCTTAAACGTTAAAAAAATGTGTACATATTTAATTCAATTTTCCCAACTAAGCAGGTTGTATTTCTTTAATATTGAACAATAAAATGATTTCTTATCAAGAGTTTTTCAGGATTGTTTGTATAATGATTCAATTAGCTTCAAAGTAGTAATGATAGCTTGGGACCAAGTGGTCAAATGATAAGTGATATGAGAAATGATCATGGAGTGATTAGGGCTGCCTCACATGACATCTGATCAGGAAAAAATTTGCTAAACTGAATCAAACCCGGTTACAAACCTTTTAAAACTGGGACTTAAATTATAGTTTTGAATCCATCAAAACACCAAGGTACTGTACTTGTACTCAGATACAACTTGTAATCTTTCCCCTGATACAAATACATCTG